GGAATGAGAGTGACTGATGAGCTCCTAATCTGGCTTTTATACAAATCAAAAGACTCCCAGGCTGTTTCCTGTTGAGGGAGGCCTAGAACACATGCTCCCAGGGTTGGTCTGTAAAACCAAGCTGCAGCCTGTAAAATAATCCAAAGTTGAAGATGGATTTAGGAGCAGCAGCAGTCCCTGAACTGATTCCACCAAGCTTTGGTGCTTGATTTCTTAACCTTCTGATCTCTTTATACAATCAGCACTGCCATTATCCTTGCTCTTCTACAGCCCTACAGTCCTAGCGCATTTCAGTCTCAAAAACCCAGCAGGGGTGGAACTATGCAAGAGATGGAAATGCAAGCGCCTTTCTGCTAAAAGCTGGGATTTGATTAGCTGGAAGGCATCTGGAGGGGTTTGCATACCAGGCTCCAACAACAAAGGATGACATGATAGGGTTCAAGTATGACAATCTCCCATGTTTTCATAAGACAGACAAGGTGGGGAGAATTGTGGTGTTTGTGCTGAACACGGGAAGCTAAACCATGTCTCAGCCAGAGAGGCAAGTTCCACATAGTTATGCTGAGTGCAGTTGAAGAATTCAGTCTTCCCTGGCTGGAAGATACACTCCCAGCTGTAGGGTAGACTAAGGCCATATCTACATTACCTGCTGGATCAATGGGCAGCAATCTATTCAGCGGGATTGATTTATTATGTTGAGCTTAGATATGATAAATCAACTGCTGAGTGCTCTTCAATCGATTCAGGCACTCCTCCAAAACGAGGCCGCATCTCCACATGCTGGAGGACCGATGCTCTGGTGATCGATCCGCCAGAGTTCAATTTAGTGGGTCTAGAAAAGACATGCTAAATCAAATTCTGAGGGCACCATCGACCTTGGTACTCCCTGCAGAGAAGTCTCTCCCGTCAACCTCCTGCTGTGGGGCTGCCCCAGAAAATCGGTGCAAGATTCATTGACTCCAGCTATGAAATTCATGTAGCTGAAGTTACATATCTTGCATCGATTTTCTCTGCCAGTGTAGATCTGGTCTGAGAAGAGTAAGCAGAGTAAGAGATGGGAGAGTGTCTGCTCTCAAGTTACCACGGTGAAGAAATCGTGGTAAGCAGATCCAAGTACACTATTTCAGCTAAGCTATTCACATAGCTGGAGTTGAGTAACTTAGGTGGAAGGCCTTACTCATAGAGACCTCAGCGTAGGACTGGTTGTTGTTAGCTCCTTAACTCCTCCCTCTGTGGCTTAGGACCAATCAAACTCATGGGAACATAAGGTAAGAGTGGCCATACTGGGTAAGACTGTCGGTCCATGTAGCCCAGTATCCTGTTTTCGGACAGTGGCCACTGCCAGGTACCCAGAGGGTCACATTCAACCCTAGTATAACCCCTCAATTCTGCCCCAGAGCTTACTGCTTGCTTTCTTCCCCCACGTCTCAGTGTGGATCCTGTGGCACTTTAGACACTCCCAGATTTATTAGGGCATAAGCTTTCTTTGATAAAACCCATTTCATAAGATGAACTGGAGTGTAATGGGATTTACCCACAAAAGCTAATGCCCCAATACATCTGTTAGTCTTTAAGGTACCACGGGAATTGTTGTTTTTGCAGATACAGACTAATATGGCTACCCCTCTGAGCCTCTTCACTGGGGCTTGTGACCATTCGCTTAAGTCTGAAGTGTTCAGCAGAGAAATGGCACCATGTAAATTATAAGTATTATTTTGTGTTTAGAAAAGCCTCTGTGTCTGTTTCTCTCTCACAATTAGATGATGATGGAGTGAAATTAATCAGAACTTGACACCTTAAAACAACAAGTGTCCTTTCTTGTCACAAGGTAAGGAATCGAAGCATTATACAACAACAATATTGAAAGCACAAGGAGGGAGAGTAATGATTTAAGGGACAAGAGACGGAATGAAGGGAGTATATCTGAAAAAAAAAAGGCATCTGAACAATCAATCACAGGTGTTAGACTGTAGTGTTGTTTCCAAAGGGCAATAGTGAAAGCCCCATCTTATGAGACACCCCCAAGTTTATACAGCAAAAGCTGCGCACAGGAACAGGTGCAGTAGCTAGATTCAGGCTAACAATAGCAGGGAAGACAGTGAAACCTTTAAGGCAGGGTGGTGAGAGGTGTCCATAACCAAGGTCTTGGCTGGGCTTGTGTGCTGAAGGCCATGCTGTGCTATCTTCACTGCCCCTGTCATCCCCACTAGCTGGATTCAAATTAGTTTGGGTAGGCCAGCTGTGAAAAGCTTTTGTTGTGTAGTGTTATCTTTAAAACACTGATATAGGTTGAACCTCTCTACTTGGGCCTGACTACTGCTGAACAAGAGAATTTGCCCAACCAAAGGAGGTCAATATTGTATTGTCTAACAGCATTGCCAACACTGCAACTGCTTACTGGGCTCTGAGAAGACATTTAGGGGCACATTAGAGCTAAATAACTTTATGGGACCATGGGAAACTTGGCGACACCCATGAAAAGTGAACATCTGGCTAACAGAAATCATGCCGGACCAGAGATGATAACGGACCAGAGCGTGCCAGACTAGAGAGGTTCAACCTGTATTAGAGAAAGCCCTGCAGAACAGACTCTAGGGAATTATCCTACGGGATATACAAGTGGAGACATTCTGATTTCAGCCTGCCACTGAGGCACCTGTACCCATGCAAACTCTCAGTGCAGGCAGGCCAATTGGTATTTGCCCTGGGGTAGCTTACTCCTAGTTAAAACCAGGCGAAGCTGCATCCTTCTAAATGGCTGCTTGTAGCAGCTCACCCTGTCTATATCTAGGCTATGTTTACACTGCAGGCTTCTTGCGCAAGAGTGCGTCCACACTGCCATGTGCTTTTGCACAAGAGATGTGTTTTTGAGCAAGAGCGTCCATGGCAGTGTGGACGCTCTCTTGCACAAGAAAGCTCTGATGGCTATTTTAGGCATCGTCCACACTGCATTCTTGTGCAAGAGGGCTTATTCCTCGCGGGGAAAGGAATAATTCTTGTGCAAGAAGCCCTCTGTTCCAATGCCTTACTGTAAATTTACTTGAGCAAGAATGCACGTGCAGTGTAGATGCTCCGCAAGTTTTTGCACAAGAATGGCTGTTCTTGTGCAAAAAACCTACAGTGTAGACGTAGCCCAGAGGTTTCCTCTGAAGGTTGTAATGGCCAGAGCAGTAAGGTCTTTCCCCTTCTAGCTTCTGTGAGTGTATGAAAGATGGTCCCACATTTTAATTTGTTAGTAAAGATGTACCCAGTTAGAACCCAGCTCTGCAGACTCAACAGACATGCTTAGGTGTCCATTTAATGAGAACATAGGAATGGCCACATTGGGTCACACCAAAAATGTATCTAGCCCAGTAACCTGTTTTCCGACAGTGGCGAACATCAGGTGCCCCAAAGGAATGAACAGAACCAGTAATAATCAATTGATTCATTTGCTATCACTCATTCCCAGCTTCTGGCAAACAGAGGCGAGGGACACCATCTCTGCCATCTCGGCATCACCGGTCCTCCATGAATTTATCTAGCTCTTTTTTTTAATCCCGTTAAAGCCCTGGGCTTTACAACATCCTCTGGCAAGGAGTTCCATAGGCTCATTGTGCCTTATGTGAAGAAATACTTGTTTTAAACCTGCTTTCTATTAATTTCATTTGGTGAACCCTAGTTCTTATGGTATGTAAAATAGTAAACAACATTTCCCTGTTTACTTTCTCTACACCATGATTTTTATAAATCTCTCATATATTCACCTCTCTTCCAAGTTTGGAAATCACAACCTTATTAATCGCTCCTCCTAGGGAAGCTGTCCCATATCCCTAAAATTTTTTATTGCCCTTTTCTGAACCTTTTCCAATTCCAAGATATCTTTTTTGAGAAGGGACAACCATACATCTGCACATAGTATTCAAGATGTGGGCAAACCATGGATTTATATACAGGCAATATGATTTCCATTCTAAGCACAGAAATACACAAATACAGATTGTTCTATGACTATCTGTATCAAAATGTAAACACTGAGGGGCTGAGGCCTGGTCGACACATAGAACATGGACAACTAGATGTTCTATTGGTCCTTTCTAACCTTAACATTCTATGATTCTATAACAACAAGTTATTTAAAATAGTGCAAACTCCTGTGTGAACATACTTATCTTAGCTAAACCAATATAAGTTTAGTTTACGCTTAAGTCCATTATGAACAGCTCTTTGCTAAATGGAAAATAAACCACTCAAACTATAACAATGAATTATGCAGGGTTACACTAAACCTATTTAAAAACTGATTTAGGTTAAACTGGCGCTGCTACTTTAAATTGGTGCAAGTTTGCGTGCTGAGGTAGTCTGATTGTCCTTTGTGCAACCATTCTGATTTGGTAATACTGAATGTTATGACCCCTTTACATTCATTTTGCACTGGTGCAAATGACAACATCTAGCGCAGGTCAACGGAGAATTAGACCTCGCGTTTGTCATGGAAACCAGCTAAACAAGACATCAAAGGCTTCCTGGATCCAACACTTCTGATCTGGCCCCAAAGAGCTACCACCAACAGTACAAGCATAACCGCAACAACTGCTTACAGTGAATAATTCCTCCAGGAGACACCTTGTGGAGGACCCTAACTCCCTTGCTGGTTTGTAATACAGAAAAATCAATTACAGACTAATTACCTCCCTGGTTTAATTAGTATCCAAAGAGCAGGGCATAGCGTGCACCCTAGTGCTGAGAGCACAGCCAGACAAATGAGAGGGAGTGGCAGGCAGCGCGGGTGTAAACCCCTGGACACATGCTAATGAAGCAACAAATTCATTCTGCAGGAAGCAGTGGCGTGTTTTATTCATTCTTCCTCGGAACAGAATGGAGCATAGCTTGTATCAGGGCTGCACGGGAGGCAGCCAGAAGCAGACACAAACCCACCTGGTATTTAAAGCACGATGAAGTGAAACAGAATGCGCCAGGGCGGACAGACAGGCAGATTCGTGCTGGCTGGAGTCTCTTACCTCGGTGATGCGGGGATTGGAACATTTGACGTTTCTGCTGGACCAGTCGAGCCAAGGGTGAATGGGGGAGCTGCAGTGCTGCCGGAGGGTGCACTTGGCCTCTCCGCTGCACCAGCCGCACTCGAATTTCTGATCTGCTTTCAGGCACAGGCCGCAGCTCTCCCGCTGGGCAGCGCATTTGTACAGATGAACTGTGGAGCAGGGAGAAGCAAGGACAGAGCTGGAGATTAAATCTTCAGGGCTGAATGAGCTACAGCTGCTTACAGATGAAGATGGCCCACGATTCCCTTTCACTGATGAAAAGACAACCTCACCAGGCGGTGGTGGAGATATGGAAAAGAGGGGGAGGCACAGAAATAGGGGCTTTGGGGGAATGAACTGACAGGTTTCTGATGTATCTGCCTTGCAGCTAAGTGCCTGTCGATATTCTGCACAACTTGTGGGGTTCTGTCCCTCACATTTTTTTTTCTCCAACAAGCTAATCACTCCCTGCCTCTCGCTCTTCAACTCGGCCATTTTTGATTGCCCACGCTATTGCAGATGACCAGTTGAACAGCCCCAGCTGGAACATAAGCAACACCGTAGTTCAAGAGCCACAGGGAACATTTATCAGGCTCATCAGAGCCACCCCGGGGGGGCTCTTAAGCCTTCTCGTTCCTGCTTATCCTTTTTCCAGATGTTCTCATATGATTGTTCCCATGCTTGCTTTGGAAGGCAGCTTTCAAAACCTCTTTGTTTAGCTTAGTCCACCACAAAGGAGCGCATTGCTGCACTGTCTCCATTTCCAGGGAGCATGGCAGGGTCTCCATCAGGGCCTCCTGTGTATCAAATTCCTTAGGAAATTTCAAAGCATTCCAAAGCAAACACAGCTCCAGTGTGGATAAACAAGAACCTGTTAAATTGATGTTCCTGCTTCAGCAAAATGGGACTATTAACGGGTCTTTTCAGGGGGTTCATCTGCTGCTTTCAGTCTATTTTACTCTGCACTGCACTCATTTTTGTCACAAAGCCATTTTTTTTCCCTGGGACCAGCTCTATTTTCCTCCTCTAGCTAGAAGTGGAACAGAATTCTTTCTTTATCAGGGCTTGGCTGCACTGTACAGCCAGAGCTGGCTTGCTTCAGAGCAGGGCACATACAGATTTTCTACAGGTCAATTCTTTTAACAGGTCTTTTATAAATCAAGCACTGAGGCAAACAGAAGCAAAGTCCATAGAATGAAACGCAGTATCCATATGGGCTACTGATATTACTGAACACATAATAAAAGGCATCTACGACACACACACTGAATTTTCACGTGATCAGAGGTTTCAGACCTAATATCCTGGTTAAATTGACGACCCTAAAATTATCACAGGCAATTATATTTGAGTTATGTTCCCACATACAAATGATAAAACACGTTGGGATCCTACAGGGCGACGGATGCTGTATAAAGCACAGAGCTGTAGGGAGGCCAGTGCTTGCTTAGGGCATAGAAACTGAGCTACACTCTTATTTTTAGAAGGAATCCCATTAGGTTAGGGTTGATGTGCCTTGGTAAGTCAGCGCACAAAGAGAAACTTGGACTGTGGCTGCCCATGTTCTATAGAGAAACAGAAGGTTTTGCAATCTGCAGAGCAGTCGAGCATATTTCTAGGGTGTTACATATACTTAATTGAAAATAAAATCCAGAGGCCATGGTGCTGCTGCTGCAGATTTCTAGTCACTTTTTCTTTATGCTGAGTACACATTGTTCTCCCTCTCATGCCAGTTAAGTTCATGCATCGTTCCCTTTGGTTGAACTGTGCAGAGCTGTTGGGCATGTGCATCCCACTGGGATTCCCAGATTCCAGTGCCCTACATGAAAACCTTAGCCTCAGCCTTGTGGACAGCTGAAAGTATCATGAGATGAGGAGCGCTGGTCACACCACACTGACCTGTGACAATGGGGCTGGAGGCAGGCACATGCGGCAGAGCTGTCTCTGAGCTGGCTGCAGGTCAAGATGTTTTGTTAAAGGCATTCTTCTTGCAGTGCTACGCTGCTGTCACTTAAGACCAGTTCTGGAATGGCTAACTGGGACCGCGGAGGGGGGATCTGGGGAGAGTCCACCAGAATGACTCTGGGTACAATGGTACTGTTTCTTGGATGTCACTAGCAAGGTTCTAGCCCAATCTTCCCATGAATAGAAACGTCTTTTTTCCATAAATGGGCTTGACCACATACTTCCCAAATCTTGAACAAGTCCCCTCCACTGCATAACTCAAGGGTAAAACACTGCAGCAGGAAACCGAGCACCCATTACCTTTCAAATCCTCTGGGTTGTCAATAATGAAGTTTCCATTCCAAACCACAGCAAAATCCACTGCTAAGTTGCTTATGTCCATCCCGTCATAGAGATACTAGGGAACAAGAAAAGAAAGAAATTTCGGGGAGGTGGTTGGGAGGATGTGTCAGGAAGAGACACCAGGAAGGAAATGATTTTTTTTTAAATCACCATGACAACTTTTTGTGACGATGTCTGAGTGACTGACAATTCACACTCTCATATCTAGGATCCTGCTTTGGGTCCACATAATGAGACTCATTTCTCCTTGCCAGGGAAATATAATTAAAATCAGTTGATGGACCCTGCAAGAGGCAATAGATTAATTATCCCAGACACGCTGGCTGTTCTCATAAATACATCCCCACTATTTAATGAGACTAGATTGAGGCTCTGCACTGTGGCTCTTCTGCCCAGGAGACAGACTGGGCCAACTTTCCATCTAGCCTCCACCCTCCCTCGATGTAATCAGGAATGTACCAAAGTGCTGAAAAGATCTGACAACTGACTATGGAAATTCTGTCAGTGCACCCTATGCAAGGGGGAAGAGAGGGAGTTTTCTAAGTCACCGGTTCAAATCCAAATCAAGGCTGACTGGAATGCTTCACCTTCTGATGGGTGCCCACTGGTCATAGAGATGAGTTTGGAGGTCTCTGACCAGTTTCCAAGTGGGCATTTCACAAGTGCCATCATTGTAATTATCACATATTAGGCCCTATGTTGGCAGCCTTTATAGATCAACTAAAGTGTCCAATTCTCCTACAAGGAAAACGTTGGCTGCAAAAAGCAAGCATATTAAAGAAACCCTCCACAAAGGGCATGACTGTTCAGCGTTTCCTTCCTCACAGATTACTTATCTACATTTGGTCCACATCAGCCTTCAAGCTTTTAAGCAAGATGAGAACCTGAATGGAACAAGTAGAGGAGGAGGAGTCAGGGGGCCCAACTTGGACACTAGCTCCCTGTGTGGTCTTAGGCAAGTCACTTAGAGCTCATCCACATGCAGAAGCTGCACTGGCTTAACATAGTACTAGAGATGTAGCCGTGTTAGTCTGGTCTAGCTGAAACAAAAAACAGGACTATGTAGCACTTTAAAGACTACAGTCCAGTTCTGGGGCCCCCACTACAAAAAGGATGTGGACGCATTGGAGAGGGTCCAGCGGAGGGCAACCAAAATGATTAGGGGGCTGGAGCATATGACTTATGAGGAGAGACTGAGGGACTTGGGTCTGTTTAGTCTGCAGAAGCGTAGAGTGATAGCAGCCTTCAACTTCCTGAAGGGAGATTCCAAAGAGGATGGAGAGAGGCTGTTCTCAATAGTGACAGATGGCAGAACAAGGAGCAATGGTCTCAAGTTGTGGTGAGAGAGGTCCAGGTTGGATATTAGGAAAAACTATTTCACTAGGAGGGTGGTGAAGCACTGGAATGGGTTCCCTAGGGAAGTAGTGGAGTCTCCATCCCTAAGTCTCGGCTTGACAAGCCCTGGCTGGGTTGATTAAGTTGGAATTGGTCGTGCCTAGAGCAGGGAGCTGGACTTGATGACCTTCTGAGGTCTCTTCCAGTTCTATGATTCTATGACTAACAAGATGGTTTATTAGGTGATGAGCTTTCGTGGGCCAGACCCACTGCCTCAGATCAAATTGTGGAAGAAAATTGGCATGACCATATATCCACAATTTGATCTGAGGAAGTGGGTCTGGCCCACAAAAGCTCATCACCTAATAAACCATCTTGTTAGTCTTTAAAGTGCTACATCGTCCTGTTTTTTGTTTTGGCTTAACATAGATCTACTTATACTCGTTTAGCTTGCACATACATATTTACCAGCGAGAGCTAAACCATACAAGCCTGGATTAAACAGACATCAAAGTAGCTCCACACAGTTGCTCTAGTTTAACTAAATCAGTATAAAACCACACCATTAGATATGTTGTTACAACTCTGTGTAGACTAACCCTTGAACTCTCTGCTTCCCATTCCCCATTTGTATAAAAGCACAACAGGATTGCCCTGGGGCAGGGCTGCTCTGGGTATGTGTTACTTAGGTAATGTTCATAAATCACTTTGGATAGGAAAATGACTATATCGTATGTATTAATTTATTATCTAGCCTGCTATAGGGATTTACAGAAAGCCAGTGTGGCACAAATACCCAGAGAAATTTAAGACAACTCGGAGCTTCATTAATAAGCTAAAAATATCCACATGGGCTGTTAAAATAGATCTGGAGGTTTCTGGTTCCATATAGAACCCTCACTGATACATGATGGGAAGTGAGAAAACCAAACCCTGCACCCAGCTCTTCTTCCATTTGTAGCCTGTTGTCTCCTGCCAACAGACAGAGAGGCCCTTCCTCTAAAGTTCGGAGAATGGCTTTTGTGAAGAGCAGAGGTGTGCACCATGCAATGAATGCAGCTGAATCTGTGTTTTGTTCTCTACAACATGCGAGAAGGATGGCAAAAAAAGTTAGAGCCGTCCCTCCAAGAAGTACGATGCTATTCTCGGTTACTGATTCCAATGGCATTCCTACAGGTTGGGACCTTGCTGTACAATCTCTTGGGCTGTAAGCTGCTATACAGTTGGCCCTCTGTGTGTATTTCTTTTGTAGCTTCATCCACAGAGTTTGTATCACTCTGCGGCACTGTATCTACTCCCCCAGCTGAGTCCCATTCCCTTCTTTCCTAGCATTACGCACTCCGTTAAATTGCTGAGACTTGGAATTTGACAGCTCTCTGATCAGAGGCCTACAGGTCTCCCTCTCTCTCGCCAGTATGAAATATCTTGCCTTCTCACCTCTGTTATATTCCTTTCTCAAACCCATCCCTGTGCTCCTGCCTGCCTTGCCTTCACTGACCCACTCACGGTCACTGACAGTGAGTTGGCACATAAAGGATCTGCACCCGAGCAGTATAATTAAACACTTCATATGCCTATAGCAGATTCCCATCTGGAATTCACGATTAGTTTAACCCTTAGTTTTATTTATTTTTAATTATTATTATCATCATTCTCTCTTCTTTTTTTAACTTTCACCTTTTCCTCTTCCAGTTAAATTTGCCTTATTCACAGTGTCCTCTTGCTAATGTCGAGATTGGGGTGACGGCTGTATTAGCGGTGGGATGGCTGGTTTAAATAAAACAAAGAGGCATCTCTGGTGCGTGTAAGTGGAAGCATTGCCTAGTGGACAGAACACAGTGATGGGAGCCAGGAACTCCTCCTGCATTCCAGGCCCAGGTCTAAGAATGACATCCTCTGTGGCTTTGGCTAATCCATGTCACCACACCTGTATGTAAAGATAACAATGCTTACCTGCCCTCACAGCATGTGGGTTAGTCAATGGTGCAGGAACAGACTCTACAGATCCCGGACAGCCTCATCCATTCAACTCTAAAGCGCTTGCATTCTAGAACCCACTTGGAGCATGGCTATTGGCTGTTGGCCTCCCTTTGTCCTGTCCCTCCCATGTCTTCCTCTGATGGGCCCTTCCCTTCTCCCATTCCACCCCTACTGCCCCGGCCCCTTACCGAACTGTTCTGGCATTGGACGCTGGAGCTGTTGAAGCGTAGAGCTGGTACCCGATGAATAACTCCTTGGATGTTGAGGACACATTCATACCCACGCTGGCCAGACTGGGGCTGGGGCAGGTTTCTGGCTTTCAGTGTGATGGGCTTCACCTCCCCCACCGGGATCAGAATCTCTTCTGTGGGAAACAGCTGTGGGCAGTCCTGAGAGGAGCAAACACAGAGGCAAAGGTGACTCCAGTTACTACAGGGCCACTCCCCTTTATGGAATGACAAGTCTGAACACACCGGGACTCTGGAACAGTGCTGATATTTTCATTGCAGTCAAACGAGAGGGGACATAATTCAGGAAATCTATCAAAGCACCATTGTTCATCCTGGCTTGCTGGGTTACACATTTTATCTTCAGACACAAACCCCAAGACTACCTCCCCAGTCCTCTTTACCCTTTCCCACACAAGCTATCCGCAATTCATCATCAATTACTTCAGCTTCCCAACTGTAGCTGAGACCGATTTTACTGCAAGGTGGATTGGATCCTCCCAGTGCTTTTTTCTGTACTCCAGGGGAAAAGCTGTTGAGGGGGAAAAAAAAGCTGGGGTGGGGCCGGCATTGCCCTTTTAAGAGATGAAGCCCATTTCAGACATGCAGCCCAGCCGACTGTCGGACATTTGCATACAGAGGTGCGGGTATGCTTCCATTCTTTCCAGGTAAGTTCTAACTGGAGGTGCCAGTACTGCATATCGGGCAGTGCCATCACAAAAAAAGCACTGGATCCTCCTAACCACACACTGAACATTCATTCTAGGTTTCATTTTCCATCTTGTTTCATTCCTGGCCAGTGCATGGTTCTGCCATGAGTGCAGGAGACTGGACTTGAGTTCTCAAGGTTCCTTCCAGTTCTATGAGTCTGTTTTTCAAAACCAGACTGCTCAGCATGGGACATGCTTCCCTTTTTTGTGACCCTCTTTTTGTGTTTAGCAAAATGATTCCAATATCCTATTAATTTCACAATCTGCAGCCCCAACCCTACAAACAATTCCCCTTTTTCTCTCTTACCCTACCCTGTCATCCAACACCTCTGGCTAGTTACACAGCCAGGCCTGTATGCAAAAATGGAGATCAGAGGGAAGTAGTTTTCCTGACCCATGAGCCTAAAGGTTAAAGCATTGAGCTAGGATGTGGAAGAGCGAGGTCCAAGCCCTAACCAGCAGACTACAGGTTATTCGGGTGCCTCTTATTTTGACTAGAAAGCCCAAGAAATCTTCTCAAGCAGAGTTTTATTGACACCAATTCTTACACTGCAAAAAGTTCTGGGTTTTGATTAACTGACATTTTCCAAGGAAAACCCCAACTAGCTCTCTGCAGAAGGGCAAAGCAGTCCCCAGGATTGATCTTCTAGTAGCTCAGTGATGCATGAGCAAGACTTCTCCCACCTTCAGCTGGGACTGGAAGGGATGAAGTTTTGCTCCTGTATGTGAAACTGCACCTTCCGCTCCCATCCATGCTGATGGGTAGAGAGGTGTCCAAATGCTCAGAGATTGGGTTAAAATAAGCACCCTAGAGTTTAAGGCTGGGATTTTCAAGTAGACCCACGGGATTTAGCACCCAAATCCCAATTAATTGAAATGGGAGATGAACACTTCTTTAGAAAATGCTTCTATGAATTCATCTTGAGTCTTCAAAACTGGGTCCCATCTCTAGAAATCGGGTAACAGACCTGAAAGCTCGTCAGCAAATACTAGCTGTAAAACAAATACCTGATTCAAAACGGGTCCAATTCTGCCATGTTTCCTCACAGGGCATTCTCCTGAACTCAATGGGCATTCTGTGCTCTGAGGCCTTCTCTACACTAAATGGAAGATCACCGCTTCTGCAATTGATCTTTCAGAGTTTGATTTAGCAGGTCTACTTAAGACTCACTAAATCAAACTCAGAGGGTGCTCCTTCCAGCGTCTGATTCTCCTGCTTCTGCAAGGAGTAAGGGAAGCCGACCGAAGTGTTTGCTCCCATCAGCCTTCCGCTGTGGGGATGCCGCCAAGCTCGGCTTAAGGTAAGCAGATGCCAGCTCCGTAGAATACGTAGTTGGAGTTGTGTACCTTAAGCCGAGCTGCCAGATCTAGTGCAGACCTGGCCAGAGAAATCTCTCTTGTAGGATGGCGCCCTGGCTGAGTGGGAAATGAGTGGGAAACCAAATCAGGCAGCTCTCTATGCACAACAACCCTTGCTTGCACCGGCATGTGGTGGGGGCGAGTGGAAAAGCTGCAGGCTTACAGTGGATGCTCCAAAAGTCTCAGCGTACCGTTCAGACAATAAAACTGCCCGTATGTATTTGCAGCAACATCCGCAGATCCGTTGCAGTCGCTCACTGCAGATATCTCACTGTGTCAGATGCAAAGCCAAGCTAGCTTAGGAGATGCCAGCCCTCTACAAGGATGAACTTTGATATCGCTGGAAGCCAAGATGCTAACTCCCTCCCCCACCATCCTTGCAATATCTTTTAGGCCTCAGGAACTTAAGCCCCTAACTCTTCTGGAAATCGTCCCTTTAGATTTCCTAGAGCTCTCTCAGATTAAGCCTGGAAACAACAAACCCAGCCTGTCATCCTACCAAATCCTTCTGTTTCATAAAGGGAACCTATGCTCCTGACAGGCAGGAGGGATTGGAAGGTGTTTCTCTTTGGTGGCTAAGTGATTCAACCCAATGGGTAGCACAAGCATTTTCTGATCCAGATTCAATATTCTAAGTCCCCCTCGGGATGGCATCTGGCGCTGTTCCAAGAGTAAAACTCTCCCAGACAAATGCAAACGGTCAGGGTGTTACAGACAAAGCCTGAAAGCGCCATCCTCCTGCCAGGCTCAAGTCACAGCAAGTGGAAAGGAAACCCAAGAAACCAGAGGGGACTTGAGAAGTGGGAAGCACACTGCTCTGCGGCAGTCCACGGGGCTGGAGAGAGGCGGGGGGAACACACTGAAATTCTACTTGAGGCCTTTCCTGCTCCAGTGCAGAGAAACACACATGGAAGTGAAAAGAGCAGACACACGAATGGGCTCTTTCTGCCACAGGAACCAGCAGCCTGGCTCCTCCAAAACTAACAGACTACGACAGATTCCGGTGAAGGACCTGGGACTTACAACCGGAATACCCCCTTTTTGTATCAAAGATTAAAGACAAGGGCCCCCACTCCGGTAATGACAGAGATGAGGGGCTCCTACCAGCTTCCCAATGTGTGGGAAATGACCCTGGACATGGTACCACACAGCCGGGGCCAAATTAGTGTGACCAGAGAGCAAGTGTGTAAAAGTGCCAGAGAGCAAGTGTGTTAAAGGTGGGAGGTGATAGGCACAAGACTATCAGGACTTTTGTTCACTCTAGGCAAAACAGAGAGGCAGTCTGCACTGCAACTGAGTCTAATGGCCCACTGCGGGGAGGCAATGGAGTCCTTCCTGAGTTGCACAGGCTTCCAACACAGACCAGAGATCAGCAATGAGAGGACGCAAAGGGTATGTCTAAACTACATGGCTCCGTCGACAGAGCCATGTAGATTTGTTTATTTGGCAAAGGGAAATGAAGCCACGATTTAAATAATCGCGGCTTCATTTAAATTTACATGGCTGCCGCGCTGAGCCGACAAACAGCTGATCAGCTGTGTGTCGGCTCAGCGCGCTAGTCTGGACGCTCCCCTGCCAACATGAAAGCCTTTTATCGACAACCCCCATAAACCTCATCCTACAAGGCATAAGGGGGATGTCGATAAAAGGCTTTCAGGTCGGTGCAGAGCATCCAGACTAGTGCGCTGAGCTGACAAACAGCTGATCAGCTGTTTGTCGGCTCAGCGCGGCAGCCATGTAAATTTAAATGAAGCCGCGATTATTTAAATCGCGGCTTCATTTCCCTTTGCCGATCTGTCTAATCTACATGCCTCCATCGACGGAGGCATGTAGTCTAGACATACCCAAAGTGACAGACGGAGGCTTAAATCCTGAATCAGTTCACAAGTAAAAGAAGCTTTGGAGTCCCAGTCCCCAGCTGTAGGCACATAACGTGAAAGTTGTTCAGTTTATGAAGCCGGAGTCATTCCATTCAATTCTCCATTGGAAACTGGACAGAAAGCGTTTTCTGGGGGTTTGCATTAAATGAGCAGATAAGAAAAAATCAAAAAGCCAAAAATTGAGAATTTGGGAAAAGTGGCATGAGAAAGTTAGATTCTCTTTAAGTTTAAGCGCTGGGCAGGGAGTCCTAATTTTCCTTCCCATCTCCTGTCCCTGCCTGGCCTGAACAACATGATTTAACCCGTGTATTGCAATCGCACCTGGAGTGAGGGAGAAGGGCCCCATTGTGCTAGGTGCTGGACATACCCACAGTGGTCCAAGACAGTCCCTGCCTCAAAGGGCTTCCAGTGAGAGCCAACAGGCAATGCCAAGAAACAGATGAAATAAACTAACAAAACTGCACATTTCTGGGCACCTAGGGGCGTAGTTAAATAATGTAAAAAGGCAGGATATCACTGTACAAACCACATTTAACAGTAAATATCATTCCCCTCATTTTACAGCTGGGCAAACAGGTGATGTAATTGACCCAAGGTAACATACAACCGGGATTAGAAGGCAGGGCTATCTAGCTATGACATTTATACTGCCCCCATTACGGTGGTACCCGAGCACCTCTCAGTTTTCAATATATTTGTCCTCCCAGCGCCTCTGTAAAGCCTCAATGGAGGTCTGACGCCCCAGAGAACCTCAGGGATTTCTCCTGTGTCATGCAGGAAGTCTGTGGCCCAGCAGGGCTCTGACCCAACTCTCTGCATTCCTGGCTAGTGCTCTAACCATTGGGCAGCCCTTTCTACCAATTAAACGAACTCATTTAGAAGCAAACACAAGGAGGGATCCTTCACCTCTGTTTATTAGGCACTGAATGAAGGCCCTGCCCAGCTCGCAGCTATTCTGACAAGATCTCAATTCTCCAGTAACTCAGGCATGTTGCAAATGAGAAACAGATGCTGACCAATCTGGGGCAGCCAGTAGCTTAAGCTGCTGCCTCATAAAGTCTCTTTTTAATGGCACTATTCCCTGCATTTTTTAAAATTTTATTTCTAATAGGGACTCTCTCAGATTAACCGCCAAGAGTGATTTTAAACACCGGCAGAGGGGAAGACGAGAATCCTGAGGGAATGGAGGGTAGGGGAGGGAATGATCATTGCT